TATTAAACAATCCACAGTTTCTTTAATCAATAGACATTATCTACACACTAAGTTTTTATTTTAAATTTAAAATCCCAACAAAATTAATGGCTATATGAAAGTCATCTAAACACGTTATGTCAATTCTGAACGTTGAATGCTTAAGAAAATTATGCGTATTTTTTATATGGTATGAGTTAGTAACATTTCCATTTAATATTAACAAGATATTGTGTTTTAATCCACATGTACTGATTATATGATAGATTTAAGCTGTAGATAATTTTACACTCAATCAATGATATCTAAAGTGTGTAATGAAAAAATTTAAGTAGATACTAGGGCCATTACTTTCCCCTAATATTTTTTTCCAAACTTTCAAAATTATCCAAATGTTATAGAATATACCTCACTAGCTATAAAAAATCCACATTCACAGCTTCTTTGAAAACATTAGCTATAATAAAAAGATTATATTGCTCTTAAAATGCAATGCCTTGATAAGGCTAGTTTCTATTTTATGTTTTAATAGGTTTATGTACATGCCATGAATTTTTAGGCCGATATTAATGAGATACTGTATATTACTTTCATCAATCATTGCTCGTTTCCTAAAGTCTGGTAAATATCAATACAGAAAAGTAGCCTTCAGTGAGTGGTAGAGGATATGTTGAGGTGGCTATTTTGTCAAATGAAGGAAGTGTTTTTATTTTTTGAAGCAAAAGCAAACCAAGTTCACTTTGTATTGTAACTGCATCTTCTCAAAATAACACTATATTAAATGATCAAATGTACATTTCTAATGCATTTAATCTCATATATAGTAACTTATAGTTATATTTCATGTGAATGTATTGTTTTATACAATTCCTAGGTATATCTGAGCAACCTTTATTCAAACATGTCCAGAAAAGTACTTCTAAGTATTATCAAGAGTATACTTAAGATATATGTATAAGCATATGTATAGAAAGATGGATATTTTATTACATGGTTTTATATTTCAAGTTCAAACACTACAACTATGATAACAGAGTGGCATTTAAATTTTTTGGAACAAATAAAGATATATTTTGGGACGTTAACCAACATTACATATATCACATACAAAAATGTGATATTTTTAAAACTAGAAATAAATTCTTCTTGTCTTTTCACAATCGAGTCCCTGTGCACTCTGTAATACTCTAAAGAAAAATAAATTCCTTTCTCTGAAAATTTTCTGTTCATCTAGGGTATAAATTGCCTTATTAAAATTTAAAAACAAGATAGAATGTTGCTGGTAAAAACAGAAGAGCATTTTTGGACAGCAGAGCATTTTGGTCAAAGTCACAAAGCTCAGTCAAGATTCTGTTCATGACTTTCTCTGTGACTTTAGCCCTCAGTTTCCCCCTCATGTAAAAGGAAGTTGCAAAAGCGTATAATTTCCAAGTGTAAACATTAAAGGATATTATTGTGTTGTCTTAAATTTCCTTCAGTAATTTAGTAAAACCATCTGCTCTACTACATTGAGTACCCCTTCCTTCTTATACATTTTTCTAATTGTTTTGACTATTTTAGGGGAAAAAATACAATCCCCACTGCCTGCCCACAAACCTCTTTTAATTCATCAGTAAAAGACGATGTACTTATTTGAAGAAAGCAGTTCCAAAAATGGAATCAGGTAAGGTAACTAGCAGACATTTTCTTTATTTTTAATATTTTTCCTACCTCTTTGCAGTGGGAAAATAGCGAGAGCACGAAGAGCCATCCCAGGCACAGTAAGGGTCTCTGGCGAGGCAGCACTCGGCACAGGCTTTCCCGTAAATATCACATCGATGTAAAGGGAGCTGGGCAACCCCAGAAGTTGAACCAATATAGAGTTGTTGCTGTGGAAAAAGTTTACTGTTATGACAAGAACTATCTTGTTTTTTTTTTTTTAAATCTCCCTTTTCTCTTAAAAGAATGTTTATTTATATATAACTTAACAGAGATAAAGTATATTTATGGGTTTAAAAATATGTCTTCTTATGATAGTTTCTTTAAAAGCCTGGTAGATAATATGACTGTTTAAAATGGAGGACGAGCAAGTTCTAAATATTTGACTGAAATAGGTGTCTTCTATTAAGTATAAAACAAAGGGATGATAAAGATAGTAATACAACAAGAAAAAACCTTCAGTTTTGTTCTTACCGAGTTTACTTTTTCACCTCTACCATTTATAATATTGATTAACAAAAATGTCTTCATTGTCACGTGTTCCAGATTGGCTTGAGGCAGAAATCATTTGCTTCTGTCTGCTGGGTCCCCCGTTACGTTGCCTGTGATGGGGTATGCCCAAGAAGGGGAAGGGCAAGGTTTTGGTGTTTGCATTTGAAAAAAGTTTCGGCTAAGTGCCAAGGACTGCCTTGCCCTTGCACTACCTTCGGGAATATGTTTTTAAACAAAACTATTAAATTATTTCTCTTTTGAAAGATTATCAAAGAGAGGAATCAAGTACACTCTGGTGCAGTCTACAAACCAAATGCTGAGGTGTTGTGGGAAAAGCACTATATTGGGCATCGAGGGACCTGGATTCTAGGTCATGCCATATATTAAATCTCTGTGTAATTTGGAACTGTTCATATAATTTTTCTAAGAATAAACTTCCTTAGCCATAAAATAAGCAAGTTTAACAGATTTCTAAAGTATGCATTCAGATAAAACATCCTACAATACCATTATTCTCAATGAAACTGGTGTTACTTAAATTAGGCAGAATATGGAAGATTAAAAACATTTTTTTTCTAGCAGCTACTGATTCATGATTTCAGTACAACTTTCACAATGCCTTTAACAAAGTTGAGCCAGTGTAGCATATTAGCTGCAAATTTATGTAAACACAAAGTGAAATAAAAATAAAATTATTTTGTGATTTTCTACATTTACTGTAATCGATACCAGAGCTCCCTTTTCTTGATCTAGATGATTTTAAATAATTATAGTCAGGCTTAAATAAAAGTTATGTAAATATCAAAAGATTTAATAGTGTACACTGAACAGAGTTCAAAAATGTATTTTAATTTCTCTAGTATATAAATGAAAAATAAGATTCAGACAAGTCAGTCTCTGAACAGTGGTGTGCTTTTTAAGTATTACACATTTAATAGTCACGGATAGAATCAAAATTGCATTTTCAAAGACTATCATATATGGACTACTTGTATAAATAATCAGATAAATTGATTGCAGAGTGAAATATCTATCAGAATCTAAGAAATTAATAAAGTTATAAGGAGAGTTTATGTAGAATATATTTCTGTGAATAAATCTAACCAACTTACAACTTAGTATAAGAAAAGAAAATGAGATGAAAATAAATAACACAATAAAAGCTAAACCATCGTGGAAGCATTTGTCTTGATAAATATTGCTATTCCATTTCACTAAATGGAAAAAAATTAAGTTATGTATTACTAAATGCTCAATTTTTTACTATATTCAATTTTTATTATTATGTTGAATTAAGCTATAAACCAGGACAAATTAAGAAATGATGGTTAAAATCCCTGGGAGGAAAAGATGAAATACTGTTAAGCTATTCCCTCTCCCCATCCTTTCTTTCTTTCTTCCA